GTGTGTGTGTGTGTGTGTGTGTGTGTGTGTGTGTGTGTGTGTGTGTGTATCAGCATAACTCTGGAACACCTTGAGCAATTTCAACCAAACTTGGTTCATAGATGACTTACTCTCTGGTAAAAAATATTGTGGGGGTATAATACCTCTAAAACCACTCAGGGTATGTGTTCTGTTAAGATACAGCCTGTTGTGCTTTACAATGGCTTCTACTGTACTGCTGTAAAATGGATTCTACTGTACTGCCGTAAAATGGCTTCTACTGTACAGCGCAGTGGAGTTGCCACGGTAACGGCTTCACGGCACTCCACAAGGGGGCTCCCTCCGGTAAGGGGGGGAAATCCAACATTAGAAATTACGTTTGGTCGGGACACTTCCCCCCTATAAATAAATACTCTTGCAATGCCGGCTTATTAGCTAGCAAAACATATATGTTAAAAAAAAAATCTATGTTCAAATATCAATGTCTAGGCCAGGGGTGTCAAACCCGGTTTCATTGAGGGCCACATCAGGTTTGTGTTTGACTTAAGGGGTGGGCGGGAGGCGTGGCCAGCCTGACATCATTTGTGTTGGGGGGGCCACCTGGGGTAGCCTGAGCACTCTTGCCAGTCAAAATGGGCTCCCGGGCTCCGTTTTTGGCCGGAACGGCCTCCTGCCATCCTCTGCCACCGAAAATGGAGCACGGGAGGTCGGTGTGCGGCCCTCTTACAAGCTCCCTTTTACTGACAGAGGCGCTGAGGCCCAGTTCTTCGCTATTTCCAGGGCAGTACTGAGGGCCAGATGTAAGCACCCTATGGGCCGGATCCGGCCCCCGGGCCATGCGTTTGGGAAACACCCCCCCGGTCTAAGCAATCTAAGCGCTAAAGCATAGCCTCATTTACATAAATAGTCACTAAACGAATGGTTGCAATTTGAGGACTACCTGCATATACTGTTTTGGAAGATTACAGGTAGTGCGCAACTCACAAGAGTTTATTTAGCGACCGTTCAAAGTTGCAACGGCGCTGAACATAGGGAGGGGCTTATGACTGTTTTTCACCCTTATGCCCGTTGCCGCATCCCCATGGCCACGTGACCCAAGTCCACCCAGATTCTCAAAACTGCCTCTCGCCCTCCATCGCCCCCTACTCGGTCTCTACTCGGTGGTGGAAACTTCTGGTCCTTTGGCTCCTGTGGGTTTTTTGCCCCCCTTTTCGCTTTTGAGTCCTCCCTCCTCAGCGGCTTCCCTTCAGGAGGAGCAAGTTTGAATGGGAAAGTGCCAGCAAAGAGACTCTGATCGCAGGAAGAGAGGAAGGGAAGAGAAGAAAAAGAAGAAGGAGAAGAAAAACGAAGCCAAGGAGATAAAACGACAACAAGCCACCGAGGCATTTCGAGCAAAGACAGAGGCTGCCTGGAAGATGCTCCCGTCTTTCGAACCAGGGCAATGGGGTAGGTTTTTTTGCTTGTTCGTTATGAAATGCATTTATTATGAAATGTATTTATGAAATGTATTTATTATGAAATGTATTTATTATGAAATATATTTATTATGAAATATATTTATTAAATTTATTTATTATATTTATTTATATTTCTTTCTTTTTCTGTCTCTTTCTTTCTATCTCCCCTTCCCCTTCTTTCTTTCTTTCTTTCTCACTCGCTTTCTTTCTGTTTTTCATTCTTTTTCTCTCTCATTCACTTTTTCTTTCTTCCTCCATTTCTCCTCTTCCTACTTTTTTCTTTTCTTCTTTCCTTCTCTTTCCCTTTCTTTCTTTCCTTCCTTTCTTTCCCTCTCCCTCACCTCCACCTTTTCCCCCTTTTTCTTTCTTCCCTTCCCCTCCCCACCTTTCTTTCCTTCTTTCCTTCCTTCTTTCCCTTTCTCTCCTTTCTTTCCCTTCTTTCTCTCTCCTTCACTTCCATCTTTTTCCTTTCTTTCTTTCTTTCTTTCTTCCCTTCCCCTCCCCACCTTTCTTTCCTTCTTTCCTTCCTTCTCTTTCCCTTTCTCTCCTTTCTTTCCCTTCTTTCCCTCTCCCTCACTTCCATCTTTTTCCCTTCTTTCTTTTTCTTTTTCTTTCTTTTCTTTCTTTCCCTCTCTCTCACCTCCACCTTTTTCCCTCTCCTTTCTTTTTCTTCCTTCCCTCCCCCTCCCCACCTTTCTTTCCTTCCTTCTCTTTCCCTTCCTCTTTCTTCCCTTCCTTTCCTTCTCCCTCACCTCCAACTTTCCCCCCACTCCTTTCTTTTTCTTCCTTCCCTCCCCCTGCCCACCTTCCCTTCTTTCCCCCTCTCTTTCTTTCTCTTTGCTTTCTTCCTCCCTTCTTTCTTTCTCTCTCTCTTTTTTCCCTTTTCCTTCCTTCTTCTCCTCTTCCTCCTTCCTTCCCTCCTCACTGTAATACTGAATAGAATGGGCTACAGGAATCAGAGGTTCATTTCTGGACATGAAATCTTATTTTTTTAATCCAAATCTCAGCTGCTATCTTGGATCACTGGGTGCTTTCCCTTTGCAATTAAAGGATCAAAGTCCTCGCAGGATGAAATAAGATCAAAGAGAGCTCTCTTTCATGTGCAGATCACCTCCTGGTGATCTGATAACTCTTCAGGGCAGCAATGCAAAATGCATCCCCCAGGCCTCTTTTACAGGCCGGCCCTCAATTTCCCAGCCTAGCCTAGGGCGGCAAGATTTCCTGGTGGCCTCCTATCCAAGTTCTAACTATACAATACAATACAATAGCAGAGTTGGAAGGGACCTTGGAGGTCCACTAGTCCAACCCCCTGNAAAATGAGATTGAACCAAAATTCTGTGCCAACAATCCATAAAAAAATAAACCCTTGCTAACAAATAGTCACCCGGTTTCCCTTCCAAGGACCTCTCGCTGGTAGGACTTACTTGCTTCCCACTATATGTGCAACCTTCATAGTCCTCGCCTTGTGGCGTTTGCACTGTGGAGCTCTGGAAACAAAAAGAGAATGGCATAAATTTATCATAAATACAGGAGGGTCCTTGTCTTAGCAACCGTTCCAAGTTACAACGGATGCAAAAAAAATGGTCCTTGACAAGCAGGAGTCAAAAGTTTCAACAGCCACACCCTCCGGTTGTATTTTGGACACTTGGCAACTGGGCCACATTGGTCTCATTGGTCCCCTGACCACAATGTGGTGGGTTGTTGGGGTTTTTTTTTGGCCAGAAACTGGAGAGTCCTTGAGGCCACCTGGAGTAGTGAAAATGGGTGTGGAGCCTTCTTGGAATTGTTGAAAGCTGTCAGTGTAGTATTCATGAACTGGAATAGGGCTTGGTAACAAGGGACCAACAATGGGAGCTGAAACCGTTGGGAGCCTGGGCGTGGCTTAGCTCTGTAGCTCTGAGTCTGTGCTGAGTTCTGGTCGGCTGCTCTGAAACTGAAACTCCTCTCCTCTGCTTGTGTTTTGCTTGTATTTGCTACCACGTTGGAAAAAACAGCCATGGGTACTGTATATATGCCTTATGTGTTATTATGTATATAAAGAAGTTTTGAATCGGGGTGGGTTCCTGCCAGTTCTAAGCTCTTCTATAGAAGAGGTTCCACAAATCTACAGTGCCATTTAGAATCGGTTCCAGCTCCCTCCCCCCCGCCCATCCGCATATCATCAAGATGAAGAGCGAGAGGAAGAATTCTGGGAGTTGAAGTCCACAAGTCTTAAAGCTGTCAAGTTTGAACGCCCTTGGGGGGGGGTTCTAAAGGGTTAGGGGTGCAAGGGTCTTGTAACTTGACAGCTTTAAGACTTATGTGGTTCAATGCCAGAGTTCCTGAGCCAACATGACTGGAGGAGGAATTCTGGGAGTTGAAGTCCACAAGTCTTAAAGCTGTCAAGTTTGAACACCTCTGCACAGCTAACCCTTTAGGAAAAT